CACCCATCTACATATTAAACACACATTAAACACATCCATCTATATATTAACAAGAGAAACGCGAACGTTTTTTGACATAGTCAACCACAAACCGCTATCTCCATTTTGATATTGGTCCAAATGATAAAATCCTTCCTTCTTGCTTTGTCATCGTCATCACATTCATCAAGTGTTGTGTTCCTTCAAGGCGTGGGTGATCTTGGCGCTTATAACAGATGAGGACCTAATAAGCCATTTCTTTGGATTGAACCGCAAGAAAACCTATACATGATTCGATTTTAGTGGCGAAGGCTTGTGAGGAACTAGCCAAATCTTTTGGAAGAATTTTTAGCAAATAAATGGTGCATTGTGTGCTATAAAATTACCACAGGTTTGGAATTAAAACTTATTATTCACCTAGATTGGTCGGCAGCCAAGGATAAAGAATCCAGTCTGCTCTGCTATTACCTGGTGGTTGGCTAGATGCATAACTTTCCCACGGGTATTTGCGAGAAAGTGAATATAACAAACTCGATCGAAATTCGAACTCCGATCGCCGATTTCTCATTTATAGACCTAACCATTACACCACACTTTCTTGTATAAAACAGTCACTTCAACAAAATCTTTAGTAGAATTTAAAAAAAGATTAATTAATTAATTATTTTTTTAGCTTGCTTTTAAAATCTTGATGTTTTAAAATGACACTGTCTTCTTCTTTCATCTTGTGTGGTCCACTCTGGGATGGCAACCATTCTGAAATTTTTTTTACAGCGTTTGACTTTGTCCTTTGATAATTTATAGCGGTTGAATAGTATATATAAATATACCCATTTGAATAAAACTTTTAAAGAAAAATATTGCATAAAATCTCGTTTTTCTAGCAATTATTTTTTTTTCTTTTTAATTTGCAGACTAAATAACACTTGGTTATCTAAAAGAGACTTTGTAGTTTCATTTTTAAGACCCGCTAACCGAATATCGCAATACTAAGCAAATGTCAAAAATAACCCATAAGCCGCACGAATAATTTCAATTTTCTTTTCAACTTTAAATATATATATTTAAAAGAATTTATTTTGAAGTTATCTAGAGAATATATATATATATATATATATATATATATATATATATATATATATATATATATATATATATATATATATTTGTGTATTTAGACAGCAATGCTTCTTTCATGCACATTTCATTGAATACGACAGACAAGGTGATTTTATTTAGTTTTTATACAATTTCTCATGCGATCTAATAATCTTTTTTTCTGTTCGGATGATAAATTATATAAAAACTGTCCGAATGTTCTTTTTATCCGAGCGCTTTCGGCTATACATTTAGCCATTTTCAAGGATTAAATATTTTAATATTTGTTGTATGTATGTTTTATAAAATGTTTTCATTTTTCAAAACCAGGTAAATATATTGTGTTCATGTTCAAAGTTAATATTAAGTGTTTTTTTGTTTTGTTTTGTTTTTATTGATAAAGCCTACATTATTTTTAGCCTTTTTTGTATGTAGATGATGCTATTATATTAGTGTTGTCAACAAGTATGTTATGAATAGTGTCCGGTAGGTCTCAATGAATATTTAAATGAGATCTAATTGAGTTATGGTCAGAAAAGGTGTAGAGTGAGTCTGCGTGTCAAACATTTTGTAGTGTAGCCTATATAATTGTATAAAAAAAAAACTAAATAAAAGCATCTTGTCTGTCGTATTCAATGAAATGTGCATATATATATATATATATATATATATATAGATAGATAGATAGATAGATAGATAGATAGATAGTATAAGTAAGTACACTCGTTTGGAAAAATCTTAGGTATTTTGGCTTGTAATTGAACAAACCAATGCCCAAGGAAAAATAAGGGATAAAAAAAGAAAGAACTAAGAACATGAAATTGAGGCGAAAACAATCATCCAAAATTCAAGCTCAGAGTCCAAAGAAAAAAAACAACTCCAAAAAGAATAAAGCAAAAGTAACTATATAAAGTGTTCAATACATAATGACGATCCACGTAGGTGAAACCTAGGTAGGTTTGTCTGGCTCATTAGATTCATAGTTATATATATATATATATATATAGATAGATAGAGAGATATTTAGCTGGATATTTTGTAAGTTTACACCTTATATTTATTTATTTATAATTCGGGTATTATATCTCGCGAAGTCCTTCAAGAAAGGCATATTTATTGATTCAGAAATACAATTTTGGCACAAAGCTGAAGGAGAAATAGGGTGAGGTTGGCTGCCACAGTTTATCCTAAGCCTAGCTAATCTGATTAGCGACCCATTCATTCATTACAATTTACTCAGTCACCCCAATAAATCATTCATCCGACATAACCACAATGCCGCATACTGAAGCGGGTCCTACAAAAACGCCTATGTCCTAAAAATTTCACAATATATACAAATGTCTTCTTTTTTTTCTTATGAAAATACAGAGTGTCCATAAAGTTCGTGTGCACTTTAAAAAATTATAACTTTATTTGTATTTGCGATAGAAATAATTTGTAACAGGGATTAGAAAGAAGTAAATCCATATGTTTTAAGGTTTTATTGAAGTTTTATTTAAGTTTCCACGTGTCCTCCATGATTAGCAATACAAAGGTTAATACGATTTTGCAGTTCACGGAAAACATTTGCCAACTGATTTACAGTAATGCCTGAAATCACATTAGTTATTTTAGCTGTACTTAAAACTAGGTACATTAAACTTTATAAAATTTTTTTACAGATTATTTCTATCGCAAATACAAATAAAGTTATAAATTTTTTAAAGTGCACACGAACTTTATAGACACCTGTATATCGTAGGAAATGTGGCGGAAGGGGATGAACCCAATAACTAAAATAAAATACAACAAAACACTCCAACTAAAAATTAAAATATGTTAGTAGGACCCGTCCACCCAACAGAAAAAAAAAGAGTGACCATTGTATTTTGCCGATAGGCAAAATCAGGACGATCGCTCACTAAAGGAGTCCTTGTCGACTGGTTTGGTTTGGTTTGTTTTACGGTATATCAACCTTAATGTGTTATTTAATGCCGACTCTTCTCGGCATTAAATAACACATTAAGGTTGTAGGGAATATTTTTTTTCAAAAAGGATTTCAGATAATATTTTCCCAAAAAAGTATTGCTTGTATGAAAAACCTATTTTTACACGTTTTGGGGGTTAACAATTTGCCCATAGCTGGGACCGTAACAGGTGCTACCATCCGGATCAGGACCGTCTCTCCAGGTAGTACCTCCTCTTCGTGGGTAGGGCTAGATTTTGATCTATGGCCTCTGGTTCGTCCCAAAAATATAACTTCTTCTTCTTCTTCTTCTTCTTCTTCTTCTTCTTCTTCTTCTTCTTCTTCTTCTTCTTCTTCTTGTGTCGTATCCCTTCAGGACGTAGGCGATCATGACTCAAGACAATTTGGGGGCTTATCGTCTTTAAAATCAATCAACTATTTGTTAGAACTAATAGTTGATTGAAGAAGAAGAAGATATATTTACATTTTAAAATAGGAGTTAAGGAACTGGAAACACGGATTAAGCCACAAATTGCCACAGAACCAAAACATTGACCTAAAAAACCTCGAGTCTTCTTCTTCAATAGTCTCGTCCGATGTCACCTCTCGTACGGATGTCATCTATGGTGTCCTACCCGTTCAGAAATATCCAAACTGTCGGCTGTATAAAACCACTTACTCAGATCGATAGTTAAAAATACCTTCGAGCGAATAAAGCCTGATGGTCTTAGAGAGAACCACCCTTCTTGCGACCTGGCGCTACAGAATCACAAAGAACTGTATCAAATAACAAAAACCAGATCACGTGAGGACGTTCAACAGTAGAATGGACAGTACATGTAACTCGAAGATCAAATAATGACATAATCAATATCTTAACATTCCACACTACAGCTAACAAAGAGTTAAGAAGGAAATTCCTATCAACAGTGGGAAGAACGATCACAGTAGACTTGAAAAATTTATTTTCCTGAAAAATTCTTCTTGTAGAAAAATGTGATAAATTTCGCCTGACAGTAGCACTGGCTGCTGGTCACGTGAATACTGAATGTTTGTGTATAAGGAAACAGCTTATCTGGCCATTAACATTAAAAATGAGGAAAACAGATACTACTCTTTAATCCCAGCCTGATGTGTAGAGAGCGAAGAAAAACGTAACTCGTGTAAGCACTAGATATTAGGTCAAGGAACGCCGAATGTTTCCTTATATGTTAACGGTTAATATTGCCTTTATATTTAGAGATGAGGACAACAGATACTACACTTTGATCCCAGCCCGATTGCCAGGTAGTAAAACAATGTGCCATTCGAGTAACAATGATCACTTAATCAATGTCGAATGTTTCCTCGTAAGGAAAAGTTTAGGGGCGCCTCGACGGTTAACAAGCTTGTCTCACTAGACCAATTACGACTGAATAGTAAGTTCGATCCTCACTAGGTGCCCCATATTTCCGGCCATGTGCCACATCTAAGCTACGCTTAGAAAATCGCCATAAGAAAACAGTTAATGTTATCATTAGAGATGAGGAGAACACTTGTTACACTTTGATTTCAGCCTGATGGCCAAGAATGAAGAAGTGCCTAATACATGCAACACTGATTACTTGATCAAGGCATGCTGAATGTTTCCTTATAGGGAAACGGCTAATATTAACATTAGTATTACCAATATCGGAATATTGTGTGCGTTTCTGATTTTCAAGACATTAAAAGTATCTAACAACGATTTTCCCACAAACCGGGCTAGTACACACACACACGCACGCAGGCACGCAGGCACGCACAAATAGAGTGGTTAGGTGTCGCTGATCAACAAATATACAGAATAACGAATCAAATGCGATACAATTAAAATATTCAAAATTTCAATGTGAATGTCCCTCCGTTCCCTGATAATCAGTACATGAAGGTTTTTCTTTGTTTTACGTGAGTTCTAATGACAAAAGAAAAATGGCCGATGACAAATTTTCATTTGTCAACAACCTTGAAGGATGAATAGAGAGTTATAATCAAGAACGGATAGAGAGATAGGGCGGGAAAAGAGATAGACTGACAGACAGAGAGGAGAGAGATCTTCAAGAGAGACAGGATAGATAGATAGATAGATAGATAGATAGATAGATAGATAGATAGATAGATAGATAGATAGAAAAAAGAAAGAAACAGGCTGAGATAGATAGATAGATAGATAGATAGATAGATAGATAGATAGATAGATAGATAGATAGAAAAAAGAAAGAAACAGGCTGAGATAGATAGATAGAAAAAGAAAGAAACAGACTGAGAGAGATAGATAGATAGATAGAAAGAAAAAGAAAGAAAGACTGACATAGATAGATATATAGAAAGAAAATGAAAGAAACAGACTTAGATAGATAGATAGATTATGATTAAAGATACATATAATATATACAGAGAGGTAGATCCTGAATAAAGAGAGAGACAAATAGACAGATCCTGAACAGAGAGAAAGGTAGAAAGAATACTGACTAAATGAAAGAGGTGCCTTTAATCACAGACACATATGTAGATCAGAAGTAACGTTACTCGCTTAATATGAACAGAAAGACATATTCTGTACTAATAAGAGGCTAAATCGACTGTTCCGTTTACTTGTCCGCTTAGTCGATACAACACTAACCCCAATCACTAAAACCCACTCATTCGATCAGGCAATCGAATCCTCATCAAAATTCACAGATCACCCTCCCTTCTCTACACCCTCCCATCGGCAAAATTCTTCTTGTCTTCGCAATGCACGAAGTTAAAACGTTTTCGTTTTGACAGAAAACGAACAAGCACTTTGAGTAATCGAATTCACCCAAAAGCAAACAGATTTATGATTCATCGCATCGCGCCATAAAAGTGTTTCGCTGTAAAACGCGTGCGACAATTTAGGAAAAACATCTTTGGCGCTAAAGCGACACAAGACGACATTAGACGGAATTGCTTGTCCAATTTCGAGGTCTCAGTCTGAAACATTTGCGGGTATATCTAGGGAGGAAGAGCGAAGAACAGCCTCGCTTTACATTCGATGTTGCAAATCAAAAGGAAATTATTATGTTGAGCCGTAAGTTATTTCCGTTTTTTGTTTTTTTTTATTAACTTTATTCTTCATAAAATAAAGTACAGTTATATTTTATTCAATTATATATTACCCATCATTTGCAATCACTAATTGCTACTTATCAGGCAGCTCTTCGACAGCTTCTGAGAAAGATTCCACAGGCTTTGATACGAAGAAGTTTACGACAAACTCTTGGAACTGGCTTTCATTAGAGAAAGAATTCTCTATCAAAGTATTTTGTAGTGATTAAAAAAAGTTAATAATCAGTTAGTGAAACGTCAGATAAATATGGTTGGTTGGGTAGAATAGACCAGCCGAGTTCCAAAAGTGTTTTTTTGTGTTGTCATGGAGAAGAACTATTTTTCCTAGTGACAAATTCCCTTTTGCGTTGGTCATTGTCGTAAGTAACCTACTTTCCATCACCTTTCATGATATATTTAAGGAAGGTTTAGTGAAAATAATGCATAGATAGAATAAAAAGAGAAGAAAAAAATGTAACGATAGATAGATAGATAGATAGATCGATCGTCCCAAAACGTTAGAGAGATCTTGAACTGAAAGAGAAAGATAAATCATGAGAGAGAGAGAGAGAGAGAGCAAACCGATACAGCAAGAGAGATATAACATAAAAAGAGACAGAGGGGTACATAATGTACAACCGGAGATAGATAGATAGATAGATAGATAGATAGATAGATAGATAGATAGATAGATAGATACGCACACCGGGATAGATAGATAGATAGATAGATAGATAGATAGATAGATAGATAGATAGATAGATAGATAGATAGATAGACTTACAATGTTGAAATTTGCTGTTATGTATTATCAGCGCAAATGTGTCATCCTAAAGTTTACTGTCCAAATAAGCAATATATATAGAAAGGGAGAGTTTTAAGATAGATAGATAGATAGATAGATAGATAGATAGATAGATAGATAGATAGATAGATAGATAGATATGGTTGATGGGGTAGAACAACCTAACCGAATTCCAAAAGTGTTTTCTTTTTTTTTTATCTGTGTTCTCGCTGCATACAGCTTCGCGTTGTCATAGAGGAGAACAACATATTTACTATTGCCAAACGTAGGGAGCTTTTCGACTTTTAAAAACTCTAAATGAACAATACCCCGACGATCCCAATGCACGTACAATTTTATCTTTCTTCCTTGGTGTTCAACACTTGGCGTCAGTTGTGAATATGTAGCCGTGTCAAGTCACTACCTTTTGTGATCAACACTGTTGTATATTTGTCTACTTTTGATTACCTCGTATGGTATATTTAAGAAAGATTTAATTAGTATAATGCATTCGTTGTTACAATTCGTTAGCACAAACGGTAATTACTTATGCCTCAACAAAGTATATGCATTGATACTGCATATTCTATGAATTATCCAGATTTTATCAGATTTTGTTTGCAACTTTTTTCAATCGCTTCGCACTCAGACTTGCTCGTATTTTGTAAAATTTTCAAATGAAGTCAGCTTCTTATTCAATGAATCATTTAGATACGTATTCATCTCTTCTACTGTTGCTGCTTCCTGTTATTATTATTGTTATTATTATTATTATTATTATTATTATTATTATTTTTGATTTCTGGCGTTTACACATTTCTTTCCGTGTCCCGCCCAGGGACCTAAGGTTAGAAATGGCGTCATGACACTTTCCACTGATAAAAAAAAAAAAAAAAATTACATATATAAAGCCCTTCGTAAGGTGTGGGCTGTACTTGTCAGAACAATTTTTTGTATCTCCTTGAGGCATGGACTTCCAGGAATCTCTTCAATTAGTCTACTGCAACCTTTTCCAACCAGTCCTAGGGCTCCAACTGCAACAGGGATTGTTGATGTTCCCATATATATCAAGGTCCTTGTATTTTGACAACTTTTTTTTTTGACAAATTTTTTATTATTATTATTATTATTATTATTATTATTATTATTATTGTTGTTGTTTTTGTTTTATTTCGTTTGGTTTCTGGTATACACTCATTTCTTTCCGGGACTCGGCCAGAGGCCTAAGGTTAGAAATGGTATCATTACATTTTCCACTGGGCAGTATTGAAAAAAAAATTGCACATATTTTACATGGATAAAGCCCTTCGTATGATGTGGGCTGTACTTGTGAGTAAATTATTTTTATTTCTTTAAGGCATTGGCTACCAGGGATTTCTTGAATGAGTCTAGTGGAATCTTTTCTAATCAATCCGAGGGCTCCAATTACAATTGACATTATTGATGTCCTCATATGCCACATTTTTGAAATTTCAATTTCAAGGTCCTTGAATTTTGATAGTTTTTTGAAAATCTTCAAAGATACATTGCTGTCCGTAGGGACTGCCATATCAATAAGGAGGCACATTTTGTCTTTGCGGTCTCTAATCTGTAATGTCAGGGCGATTAGCTTTAATTCTTCTTCTTCTTCTTCTTCTTCTTATTATTATTATTATTATTATTATTATCTTCCTCCTCCTCCTTTTCCTCTTTCTTCTTTGTGCTGTGTCCCTTCAGGAGGTTAACGGTCATGGCTATCCACAATTTCCTATCCTTTGTCGATCTTTGACCCACTTGCCTTCAATATATCATGAGAGTGTCAAATTTTCCAAGCACTCTTTCCACATTATGTCCATCGTTTCTCGCATGTTCGGACCCATGATATTCTCAGCATCATTCTGTCGAACAATATTTCTGTTGCTTCAAATCTCTTCTTCATCTGTGAAGCGATTGTCCAGCATTCACTGTCGTATAGTAGGGCTGATATTACGTAACAGTTCAGTACTGTTTTCTTTGTTTCTGTTGCTTCAAATCTCTTCTTCAACTGCCGTAAAGGAGGACTTGTATTGCGTAACAGTTCAGTATTCTTTTCTTTGTTTCTGTTGCTTCAAGCCTCGTTTTCATTTGTGAGGAGATTGTCCAGCCTTTACTGCCATATAAGAGGACTCTTTTTTTTTTATAATTGAGATTATTTTGGCAGAACAGGGATTAGAAGAGATAGCATAAAAGACAAACACAGCTAAGAGCAACAAAGAACAGGATATTGTGGACAGCCATATCCGCCTACGTGGTAAGATATATTCGACAAATATATTTTTTATCCCTATAGAAAATTGGTACCTTGCTTAGCTCCCTTCTCATGTAGCAATGGCATCGTACGCTCACAGGTTTTTAATCCTCGACATTTCCTTCCTATTAAAAATAATTTGTTTATTTCAGTAAAGCCACTAATGGCTCCAACATACCCGACATGATTGTGGTTTTATGTGTGACGCCGACCGACAAAACTTTATGCCTAAATGAATGTTTTGAAGTATTTTTTAATAGATTTTACCCGGGAAATCATTTAAAAAAAAAAGAAAAGAAAAAGAAGCTCGTATAATCTGCAGATTCAATACTGTTTCCTATCCAGTAAAATTGCAAAGCAAATTAGGCTCAGTTGCCTTGAGTAGCAGCCAGTCGAGGAGAAGAAAAACTCCCCATAAATAACAAGGCAGATTGGTCTCTTTAGCCATGGTAGGGTAACAAATTGAGGGTAGATCTAGCTCTATAGCCTTTCCAGTGTAACCAATCTAGAAGAACAACTATAAACTCAGATCTCTGTAAATAAAACGATAGGTTAGGAACTTTAGCTTTGGTAAGGTTACCAGTTTGGGTGAAGAACAACTCTAAATTCTTACCCCTGAATTTAAATACCCATCAGTCATTAGGCATAATTTGCTATTTTGCCTTGATAGGATAAAAAGTCGAAAAGGAAAGCTCTTTTTGTTTTGTTTTGTTTTACAGCATATCAACCTCAATGGGTTATTTAATGCCATCAAAATTTTTGTGCTAGTAATATTTTTTCCTTCAAAAATCTATTTCTGGTAATATTTTTCCCATCAAAAATCTATTTCTGGTAATATTTTTCCCATCAAAAATCTATTTCTGGCAATATTTTTCCCATCAAAAATCTATTTCTGGTAATATTTTTTCCATCAAAAATCTATTGCTGGCAATATTTTTTCCTTCAAAAATCTATTTCTGGTAATAATTTTTCTTTAAAAATCTATTGCTGGTAATATATTTTTTTTCAAAAATGTATAGCTGGTAATATATAAGCATGGACGAATGGTAGATTTATAGATATGTAAGATAGATTCTGGAGAGAAGAATTGTCTAGCATGACACAGTGAGGGTAAAACAACTCCTTTGATTAAAATATAAGGTTTCAATGTCTTTTGCAGTAATATATATGTTTACTCCTGTATAAGACGATATTTGAAAACCACAATTTAAAATTTAAAATTCAAGTCGATAAATCTGTAGTGAAGAGACGATACGAGATTAAATCAAATTAAGGTAAATTCAAGTAAAGTTAGCTGTGTTATGTAAAGACGCAACTGAAAGATGACGCAGCCTCTTACCTGAAAAAGGTAAGAGACTGTATATCCGTGCCTATAAAAATATGGAATCACATTGTTTTACATGAATTGTGTTAAGAATGGATTCGTCTTTATTTCCCATGTTGCCCGAAAGCGATTTTGAATATTTTTCGAACCATTTGTTTTATGTATTTTATTTTTTTGATCTTTTCTCCCCAAAGAAGGCAATAAAGCCACTAAGACGCATTGGGTTACGGAGTGCGAAAGAATAAGAGAAAAAGAAAAGCATTAATAAGAAGCGAGAACAATGAAAAAACAGAAAGTAAGAAGACAGAAGATATCGATTGATATTGCGTTTACATTTTTCCCAAACTATCTGTTTATTCCAACCTGCCCGTTTATTTTACTTCTTTTTTTCTTTTCTTTTTTTTTGGGGGGGGGGTCCCACCCTACCTTTTATTCCAACTTCTGTTCCGAACAAGATGACTGGAAACTTAAAAAAAAACTTTTAAAGAGAAGATGCTATGTACCCCTGTGTTTAAAAATATGGATTCGCCTGTCTTGCACGAATTGCTGAGAATGGATTCTTCTCTTCGTGCTCAACCCGAAAAAGAATCAAGTCGTTTTGAATATTTCCTGAACCAGTTGTTCTGTCTTCATGTAACTTGGGAAGCAATCACGGCTCAGATGGGAACAGGTCCCCCTCCGTAAAGGAAAGTTTGAAGGCGTGCTGAGACAGGCAAGGAAGCATTCTAAAAGCTAAGCAGAAATACAAAAATGTCGATAGAAACAAGGAAAAGAGTAATAAACTGCTATGTAATATCTGTCCTCCGGTATGGCAGTGAGTGCTGGACGATCTCCTCAGAGATCAAAAAGAGACTTGAAGCAAAAGAAATTTTCCCTGGACCGAGCAGGTGAGCAATCACGAAGATTTATAAGAAAATAGAAGCAAAAAGGAAGCTTATATTTAACATCAGGAAGAGACAGTTTCTCGGAAGGAAGGAGGGCTTGGAAAATCTGATACTCACAAGACAGATTAAAAGCAAGAGGGATAGAGGAAAACAACGCATAACATACTTAGTGAGCTTAGGTAAATGGATGGCAGAATAAGGTTTAGGGGTTATAACAGAAAGACAAGGTTTATTAAGAGATACAGGAGACGGGAAATTGAGATGATCCATGATCGCCTACGTCCTTCAGGAGCCACGGCAAATAAAAAAGATCCCCAGAGGTAATTTAAAATCTATTTCATCCTATTTTCCGGGAGTTGGATCCCAGTTTTAAGATAAGATGTCAAACGATTTAATTGAAATTAATTATTCCATATCTCCCGTATATAAGTCGAGTGATATGTCCTGGAAAGGGATATATTTGAACGAAATAGCTAAGTGACTTTGGCTACTATAACCAAGTAGAATACGGTAGCAGTAATCGACTGGTACGCGTCGTAGTCGCAGGTAAGAAGTGTAGATCAATGGCGTAGTCCAATGGGCGTCGTTATAGACTTAGCTCACAGACTAAGGTCTTGACTCTCCTACACGTCCGTCAGTATTTATGACGGACACCAGCCAGTCATATTCCAGCGAGGGGGGAACACAGGTGTACGCATATTCCATTATATCATCGAGTTTGGAAAATCAAAAGTTTTGATTCAAAATTGGAAAGAGCGCAAATGCCAAACGAAATTAAAAGCCCAAATGGAAAGGTAATTTTATTTAGATTTTCAAATTTTATTTTTCAGTCATGAAAACATTAAAAAGCAGATAGTTACAGTTAAGAGTGACAATAATATGTTTATTTAAGACATCAAGAAAAAAACAAAGTAACCAGCTTTCTCTTAACAGAGTTCAGGAGGCGCCCATTTCCTCTCTGAATTTGTTTACTTTGTTATCGTTTCCTTTATGATTATTAACATATCTCAAATTTAAGCCTTTTAAATGAACAATACAATTTCCGTGTCGATAGTGCGTTCGTCACGGTGCATTTGATCAATAGTAAGGAACCTCACCAAGGCAGCTACGGGAAATCACGTACACCTGATAGCCCCACTGTCTCCAGTATTCAATCGACGATTTGGCGCCATCCGGAATCCAGGACAAAGAGAGGGCAGCGAAATTTGGCAACAACCAATTGACCTCGGCTACCGTTACTCTATCATTAGTCCTCTATTTCCGTCCGTAACTATCAAATGTCCCCATTTTAAGTGGCAACTTCCAAAACGGAGAGACGGCAAGGTGAAAAGCAGGCATTATACGGCAGTCGATGTTTTAAGATTTTTGCTAATCTTAGGTAATATGGTCTAAGGGTTAGATTTTATGTCCCGACGGATTTTGCTTTGCTGTTTGGCCTGCATAATAGATTATTATTATTGTTGTTGTTTTTGTTGTTGTTAGAGATTCCTTTTCGACAATCTCTGCTTTCTGTAAACGCTATTGTTGCTATAATCAGTTGGACTTCCACAATGAAAGCCGTAAAACTGATTCCTATTGACAGAAAATGATTCTGAGGTGGAGGTAATGGGTGAAGAAAAAAAAGAGAGAGGTTTTCACAGACACGGCTCTTGTTGCTTTGATTGCAAGGAACGCTGGCCGCTAACAGACAGGAAACAGGTAAAAAGTAATCAATGAAACCTGCGGGACAATCTCAGCAGGCAGGTGAATATTTCTTTGCGTGAACCCCGTGATAGACTTCCTGAATATGGTCGGTCCATATCGGGATAGGGGAATAAATTATCTACACTTACATTGTAACAAACCATCCACAATTTCCTTCCTATTCCATTGGTGAGAAGTAAGTTCCACTCGAACAGCTTCTTTCCGAGAAGCACTGACCCGTGGAACCGACTCCCAACTGGATGTTTCCCCAATCACTGCAATCTTAACCTGTTTAAGGCTAGGGTTAACTGTTATCTTCCACTCCTATACACACAAAATGTCACCCTCTACCTTGAAAGACTCGTGTTGTGCCTCAAACTCGCACCCGACCTGAAGTAGAACTTGTCCATACAATCCATTGCTAAGGATGCAAGTAAAATTGTCGACTCCCTTTATCATTCCAACAATTACTCGATTTCTCCTGATATCCTCTACCTTTAAAAGAGCCACATTAGGCCGAAAATGAAATACTGTTATTATATTTGGGTGGGAGCTGTCCAGACCTCACTCTCCAGTCTTGAAAGAGTTCATAAGCGTCTCCGAACCCTTGTGGATGACGAATTACTCTCCAATCTCTCTCCTATAGGCGGGATTTGGCAAGCCTCTCGCTGCTTTACCGCTATTTCCAAGGAAACTGCTCTGACGAACTACATTCCTTGGACCCGCCAAGGCAAACCTTCGCGGCAAGAACACTCCATGCCGCTTACATTGTAGAAAACCATCCACATTCTCTTCGTATCCCATTGGTGAGAAATAAGTTCCACTCGAATAGCTTCATCCCGAGAAGCCATGTTGAACAGACTCCCAAGAGGATGCTTCCCCGATCACTACAATCTTAACCTGTTCAACGCTAGGATTAACAGTTATCTTCCGCTCCTATACACAAAAATAGCCTCCAAACGTAATCCTCTACCACGAGTGGCCCCCGGGCCTTGTAAAGGTTGAACCTCGTTGTAAAAGAAAACAATTGCTCATGCGCACACACATACCCACACAGCAGATCAATATAAATAATTCATAAAAGTATGAACATGGATATTTGCATTTTTTTTACTGTTTATCAACCATTTATAGGTTATTTAAAACCGAAACATATTTCAGCTTGCAGGAGGTTCCTTACAATACCCGGTGATTCTGAGTAGTCACCCATTTAAGTACTGACCAGACTCCACGCTGCTTAACTGCAATGATCAAACGAACACGATGAATGGATGTTCCTTCAGGGATTACCGTGCTTTGGGCGCCTCTTGGGACTTACAACCTTGAAAACAAGTGAAACTTAATTCGGCCCATACGATCCATCGCTAAAGATGCTGTACCTCTAAAGTGTAATCCTCTACTTCGAGTGGCTCCTTGGCCTTGTACAGGGTGAATACTATTGTAAAAGAAAATAAAAAAAATCTTGTATTTTCAGCATGATTTAACTTAGGCATGATTGACTGAAAGTAATTCTTTTCTAAATTTTTAGAGAAGGCGTTATTATTATTATTATTATTAGTAGTAGTAGTAGTAGTAGTAGTAGTAGTAGTAATAGTAGTATTTACAGTCAAACAGTTCTTAGTTTTGCTGTTGTTGTTGTTGTTGATGATGTTATCACAACGTTTAGGCTATTTTATCTCCGGTTTGATTCGGTTTATTTTGTTTTACAGCATATCAACCTCAATGGGTTATTTAATGCCGACAACATTTTTATTGCTGGTAATATCTTTTCTTCAAAAATCTATTTCTGGTAACATTTTTTCCATCAAAAATCTATTTCTGGTAATAATTTTTCTTTAAAAATCTTTTCTTTTTTTTCTCAAAAATGTATTGCTGGTTATATTTTTTTCAATTTATTGCTGGTAATAATTTTTTCCTTCAAAACTTTTTTGCTGATAATTTTTTAAACGGTATTTCTGGTATTAAAACCTATTTTTACACTTTCATAGTATTTTAACCCCTCTTTGAGTGTTTACTTTTTGCCCATAGCTGGGACCCTAACACGTTCTATCACCCCGGGTCAGGGTGGACCTGGAAACGCCAGCAATTAAGAGGTGGTTCTACGCTGCTCAAAATCTCCTGATCAAAGGCCTTACTGTTGGACGTAGTTTATCGTCTTACCCAAGACGCGAATGTAGTTTATCGTCTTACCCAGGACACGGCTGCAGTTTATCGTCTTACCCAGGACACGGCTGCAGTTTATCGTCTTACCCAGGACACGGCTGCAGTTTATCGTCTTACTCAGGAAGCGGATGTAGTTTATCGTCTTACCCAGGACACGGCTGCAGTTTATCTTCTTACTCAGGACGAAGATGTAGTTTATCGTCTTACTCAGGACACGGCTGCAGTTTATCGTCTTACCCAGGACACGGCTGCAGTTTATCGTCTTACCCAGGACACGGCTGCAGTTTATCGTCTTACCCAGGACACGGCTGCAGTTTATCGTCTTACCCAGGACACGGCTGCAGTTTATCGTCTTACTCAGGAAGCGGATGTAGTTTATCGTCTTACTCAGGACACGGCTGCAGTTTATCGTCTTACCCAGGAAGCGGATGTAGTTTATCGTCTTACCCAGGACACGGCTGCAGTTTATCGTCTTACTCATGACGCGGATGTAGTTTATCGTCTTACTCAGGACACGGCTGCAGTTTATCGTCTTACCCAGGAAGCGGATGTAGTTTATCGTCTTACCCAGAACGCGGATGTAGTTTATCGTCTTACCCAGAACGCGGATGTAGTTTATCATCTTACCCAAAACGCAGCTTATCGTCATACCCAGGAGGCCTCTTATCTCCGGTCTACGTAAGGTGTCTGTCAATCCGGGTAAACTTCTGGAAATTTTGAACTGAACCTTTATTTTTGATCTAAATGTTCTCATTCCACCCTTCTATATCATCCTCATTATGCTCATATTTAATTGTTATCGCTTATATCTCGCCCTGCTTCCAATGACTTTAAGTTTGGTTTTGGTTTGGTTTATTTTACGGTATATCAACCTCAATGGCTTATTTAATGCTGACAAGATTTTTATTGCTAGAAATATTTTTTTTTCAAAAATGTATTGCTGCTAATGTTTCTTTCTTTCTTTGTTTTTTTTTTTTTTTTTTTTTTTGGTAATTTTTTTTCAAAAATGTATTACTGGAAATATTGTTTTCCTTCAAAAATTTATTGCCCGTAGTATTTTTTCTTTTTTCATAAATATATTGCATGTAATATTTTTTTCAAAAATGTATTGCTGGTAATATTTTTGTTTTTCCTTCAACAATTGATTACTGGTAATATCTTTACAAAAATGTATTGCTGGTATTAAAACCTATTTTTAAACTTTCATAGTGATTTGACCCCAGTTTGGGGGTTAACTATTTGCCCATAGCTGGGACCCTGACAGGTGCTACCACCCCAGGTTAAGATGAACCTTAGGACATCAGCAATTAAGAGGTGGTTCCACGCTCAAAACCTGATCAGAGGCCTTGCTCTTGGATGAAGTTTATCCTCATACCCAGGACGATCTAAGTCTGTACTACCTGACCCAGGGATTGAACTCACAATCATGATACCATTAAATACACAAACCAACACTTTAATCCTTTAGGCTACAGGTCCATTATCGGGTCTTTGGAGCCACAACAGCTAAAACAATGTTTAGAGCAAGATAGCTTAAGGAAACCCCTACCAAATACCGACAGTCGTACCTCCTGTCAAACTCTCTGCCTTGGGAAGAGAGGAACCGGAACGAGGCTGTGACGAAGGGCATGGTCTCGTCCGGGGTGGTAGACAGACCCGAACCCGTTTATGCGGGTTCTACGGGGATTTTTTGTCCGAGCCTACGGGCTCGGATGAACCACGTTAAATTCAGCCTTGTGCCACATATATCGCTCGTGTGGGAGGGGGCTGTTAAATATTGACAGTCGAGACGCAGTGTAACCTGATAGTTTGGACGGACACTTTTATCTTCTGACTAATAACACTCTTGCTTTGTATATATCTGTTATTTCAATACACTTATTCGACCTACCTTTTTATTTCCGTGTCTTTCTTTCTGGCCCCTAACAGGCCACAGATGAATGTTACTGCCGCATCTGGTCTGGTGCTTCTATTATATATCTAGAGATCCTTAACAAAATCCGAAGAAGAATCTACAACGTCAACGGTCCTGACTTGGCATCGCGTTTTCAATCACTTTGCCAACGCCGTAACGTAGCTTCCTTATGACGCTTCTATGCATAATTTCATGGCAATTGTTGTGATGAACTTTTCTCTTTGACACTTATATTTAAAGGCAGTACTAAATTGGGAGTTAGGTTTCATCGCCTTGCTGTTAAAATTGCTCTAAGCAACCGTAAATTCTATTCTAAGAGTTCCTTCTCGCCTCTCCAGCTTCTTTCTTTCCCGTCAATCCCGATCTTCGAAAACTTAAATGCCATGTCAATCTTATGTCTCCTTGAATCCTGTATTGTCCTCTATCTCTCTCTCTTTCTTTCTCTCTATCTCTTTCTTTCTCTCTCTCTCTTTCTCTGTCTTTGTCTCTTTCTCTCTCTCTTTCTCCAGCTTCTTGCTTTTCCGTCAATCAAAGATCTTCGAAAACTTAAATGCAATATCAATCTTATGTCTCCTTGAATCCTGTATTGTCCTCTCTTTCTCTCTCTCTTTCTTTCTCTCTCTCTCTCTTTCTCTGTCTTTGTCTCTCTCTCTCTTTCTTTCTTGCTTTCTCTCTTTTTCTGTCTCTTTCTTTCTCTCTCTCTTTCTCTCTCTCTTTCTCTCTCAGCAAATGTTTTATCAGTTTTTTTTCCCTACTGTCAATAATCTCTTGCGTCTCAGTAGCTTTATCGCCTTGGTTGGGTGTAAAGATATAAAAAAGGTAAAAAATAAAGCTCGTAAGAGATTTCCTAACAGTGGGAAAAAAAACATTCAGAGCGTAAACAAAGTCATGAGAAAGAAAGTCCGCGTCGACGCTTTTCAACTCTATCAAGGCTGGAAAGTGAGGATTACTCAGCTCCAACCTAGATATGGCTGCAACACTCAAGTTTTGCTCTGTTCTGGCTCTTATAAAGATACAGCATCGAGAAAGGCGTCAGGTATTTCACGGAGCTGTACAAGAAGCTTACCATTTTCCAGAAACTCCAGCAAAGGAAACAGTGTTTCTCCGACATCGTCATTTGAAGTGGGTTGGTGAAAACCTTCGAGTTTTATCACAAGATGCTGTCGAAAAAAAAAAGTAAAATTTTAGGATCACTATTGTATTCTTAATGCAAAACCTCTTCGTGTGGCGCCCGTATCTACGAATAAATGCTCCAGTCATATAGCCACTTGTAATGTAGAGGAAAATACTTATAAAAAAAAAGATGGCGTACGCAGTTTGTCGATAACTCGTCTGCTGATGAAGCCTTTCCCGCGTCAAGGTGCTTGACCTTGACCTTGGTTCCTTTGTTGAGAATATCGACCAGTTCTATTGTCACGCTGTCAAGGCGATGTCTTCGGCTCGGAATTGAAAACTCTTTTATCAGTCAGAAAGAAAATAAATCTGAAATGAGTTTTTATCTCATCGCTGGAAAATACAGAAGCGCTAAAATTGAAGACAAAGAAAGAAAGAAACAAACAAACAAAGAAACAAAGAAAGAAAACTAGTTAAAAGTTGAGAAAGAAAAAACGAAAGAAAGTTTTAAAAAATCACAAAAATATAAAAAAAGAAATGCAAACAGAAAAGACAAAAAGAAAATAAAAAGGAGATATATATATATATAGATAGATAGATGTGAACTGACTGAGATAGATAGATAGATAGATAGATAGATAGATAGATAGATAGATAGATAAGTAGGTAGATAGATAGATAGATAAAAAATAAAGATAAAAGACGAGCATAAAGTAGAAAGAAAGAAAAGAGTGAAGGAAAAAGCAAACGAAGAAAAGAAGAAAAAAGACGGAAAGAAACTGAGAAGAAGAAACAAAAAAGAAAGAAACGAAAAGTTGTTGAAAAGAAGAAAAGAAAAATGACACAGAAAGACGACAAAAGCCAACAACAAAAAAGGACAGACGAAAGAAAGAGAAAGTCAAATGAAAAGTAAGATTATCGATGGAAGAAAAATCAAAACTTAGATTTAGAAAAAAAAAATTGCGTATAGGAAACGAATGATAACGAAAGGATAAAAGAGAATGAAAGAGAATAAAAGAGAATGAATGAGAATGAAAGAGAATTAAAGAAGGAAAGAGAATGAAACAGAATGAAAGAGAATTAAAGAAAAAGAGAGAAATAAAAAAAGTAAAGAGAATGAAATGATGAAACAGAACGAAAACGAATAACAGAATGAAAGAGAATGAAAGAATGAAAGAATGAAAGAGAATGAACGAATGAAATGGAATGAAAGAATTAAATATAATGAAAGAATAAAAGAGAATGACAGGAAAGAAACTGAAAGATTGAAAGAAGAATGAAAGAATGAAAGAAAAATGAAAGAAAATGAAAGAATAAAAGAGAATGAAAGGAAAGAGACTGAAATAATGAAAGAGAATGAAATTGAATTAATGAATTAAATATTATGAAAGAGAATAATCGGAAAGTGACTGAAAGAATGAAAGAAAAATGAAAGAGAATGAAAGGAAAGAAACTGAAAGAATGAAAGAAAAATGAAAGAAAATGAAAGAAAAATGAAAGAGAATGAAAGAAAAATGAAAGAGAATGAAAGAATAAAAGAGAATAAATTAACAATGATCCGCATTAAAAATCGTTAATGATTTTGTGCAACCCGACAATCTCCGTTCGGAAAAAAAATATGTAGCTGATGAAATTCTGGCCGGCTTCATAAGTAAGATTTTCCGACTTTTCTTGATATCCGTCCAAGAAATATTTCAGGAAATATCATTCTAATTCGCAAATATATCCCAGGTTAATTTCAACAACTGACTATAAATACACCAGTGAAGCTGATCTGTCGATGTGAATTGATGGTTCATCTTCATCATCCTGGCCTCTTGACACTGCGAAAATCGTTACTATAGATACATCAGGTTAATTCGTTTGAGCCGTCTCGGATTTATCGTAACAGCAATTGAAAATTAACCACTCCTCGACAGATATGTATGACCACAAAATATGAACGATTTGAACAATTGCCGGAATTAATATTGACTCTGATTTGTCAATAAAGCGAAATTAGAAAACATTGGGAATCGTCTTTTGATGACTTCAACAAATCGAAGTGAGCAAAACTTGTTAAAAACCAATTCATGATTCCACTATTCAAAATACGTCTCTCAGGGACAATTTTACACATCCAAGGTTTATCCCGTCTTCTTCTTCTTCTTCTTCTTCTTCTTCTTCTTCTTCTTCTTCTTCTACTACTACTACTACTACTACTACTACTACTGCTGCTTCTTCTTTGTGCCGTGAGCGTTCTGGGCATTAGTGATCATAGCTCTTCACAATTTCCCCTCCTTTTGTAGTTCTTAATAAACATTGTCTTTTCCTTATCACTATTCTACTGTTCCACTTGCTTTCGATCCGTCCTCTGAGTATCAAATTTTCCAAACCCTCCTTCCTCAATATGTGACCTAGAAATTTCAAATCTATCTTCCTGTTAAGTATCAGTGTCCTCTTTGTTTCCATTTTCTTTAAAACTTCGTCGTTGCTAACATGTTCGGTCCATGGTATTCTCAGCATCCTTCTGTATAACCCCATTTCTGTTGCTTCAAGTCTGTTCTTCATCTGAGAGGAAATTGTCCAGCATTCACTGCCATCTAGGAAGACTGATATTAGATAACAGGTCATTACTCGTTTATTTGTTTCTATTGAAAATTTTCTATTAATAGTTTGCTTAGATTTTGGAAGGCATCTTTTGTCGCTCCCAGATTTTGAAATTGTTGTACTTGTTTGATTTTGGTATCTCCAGTTTGTAATTTGCATGTTGGTCTCTTCTCTTTTGCTAACAACCATGCATTCTGTCTCCTTGTAATTGATGTTTAGTCCTTTCTTCTCCCTTTCCTTAATGTTAATATTAATATTGACTCTGATTTGTCTATAAAATGAAATTAGAAAACATTAGGAGTCGTCTGCTAATGACGTCTAGAAATCGCAGTGAGCAAAACTTGTTAAAAATTAGTTCATGATTCCACTATTCAAAATACATCTCTGAAGGACAATCCCACTTGAGATTCTTCTTCTTCTTCTTCTTCTTCTTTGTGTCGTAAGAGTTCTGGGCGTTAGCGATCATGGCCCTCCACAGTTTTCTCTCCTTAATAAACATTGTCCTTTCCTTATCTCCCCTAAACCTTGTTCCGCCATCCATTCACTCAAACTCACTAAGTGGATTATGCACTGTTCCTCTTACTTTCAATCTGTCCTTTGAGTATCAAATTTTCCGAGCCCTCTTCTCTCATTATGTGCCCCAGAAACTTCAACTTTATCTTCCTGATGTTAAGTATAAGTGTCCTTTTTGCTTCCATTTTCTCTAAAACTTCATCACTGCGAACATCTTCAGTCCATGATATCCTCAGCATCCTTCTGTATAACCCCATTTCTGTTGCTTCAAGTCTCTTCTTCCTCTGTGGGGAAATTGTCCAGCATTCTCTGCCATATTAGGGGACTGGTATTATATAACAGTTCAGTATTCTTCTCTTTGTTTCTAACGAAATTTTCTAGTGTCTTAATTTTTGCTTAACTTTTTAAAGGCATCTTTTGCTACCTCAGTGCGCCTTCGAATTTCTGTGTTGGACTTTCCGTCTTCTGTTCACACAAAAACCAGCATACCCGATTTATCGATCCTCGCTCGGGGCGTAATCAAGGAAGAGAGTTGCGTATAGTGTACTAACTACTAATAGTACTAATGGTTTTATCAAGCAGTTTTCTACGGTGAGACACACCCCACCCCTAGTTATTAAGTCATGGTTTTATGATGTCCAAACTCATTCTTTTTCTATATACCGTTTCCTTTCAGTAAATTTGCGATTATGGCTCTCCATAATTTCCTCTCCTTTGTGGCTCTTAGTAAATTTGGTTATTTTTCTCTCTCTCTTCTAATTCATTGTCTGCTATGCACTTACACAAGCTCATTGTGTAGATTATGCGTTTCTTTTCTCTGTCCATCTTGCCTTCAAAATCTGTTCGTATCAAATTTTCCTAGCCAACTTTCCATACTAAATGCCATAGAATTGTCATCTGCCTCTTACTGGTGATAAGCGGCAGTGTGCTTTTTGCTTCAATTGTCACAAAAATGTCGTCATTGCTCAACATCCTTCTGTAGAGCCACATTTCTTGTGCTGTAATTATATTCTTAATCTGTGAAACGGTCCAGCATTCACCGCCATAAAGGATGACTGATATTACATAACTGTTCCGTACGCTTTGTTTCTAACTAAATTATTCTATTTCTTAATACTTTGCATAGCTTTTGGAAGGCATCTTTCGCTATCCCAGTACGCCTTCGAATGTCAGTGTCACTCATTCCGTCCTCTGTTAAAACACTTCCCAGATATTGAAATTGTTGTACTTGTTTGATTTTGGCATTTCCATTTTGTAATTTGAATGTTGAGCTGTTTCTTTTGCTAACAACCATGTGTTCTATCTTCTTGCGATTGATGCTTAGTCCATTCTTCTCGCTTTCCTCACTACATTCTGTAGTTCTTTCAGTTCCCCCTTCTGTATCTGCTATCAACTCTGTGTCATCTACATATCTTACGTTTGTGGCTGTCAATAATGAAATATTTACGACTTCTAATTCTCTCAGAAATCTCATTACTGTATCGGTTGAATATGTCCGGAGAGAAGACACATTCTTGTCTTACCCGCCATTGTATTTTTGTATATTTGCTTAATTCATTTCCATCCGTATGCAGGAGATTCCTCTGCCTACATACGGTCTGGATTATTCTAATATCCTTCCCAAATATGTCAAGGTTGATGTGAGATACTCTTTGAGTATCTTACGTTAAGATTAACATCGATTCCCGTAAAGCCCAGATCTCAGATTCCTCTATGATGTTCGACGCTATTCAAGAAAATCAAAAAAATTTTGAAACTTATTGTTGTGGTACGATCCACCTAATTTACATAGTGGAGTACCGACCATATAAATATGGGTTGGTACCGGGAAGACAAGGGGAGGAAGAAGAGATCCAATCCAGAGACTCTGCCCGACTGCGACTAAGTCAACCCATTCTACAGGAACGGTCTTCTCAAGAATATACCAAAACAATATGTAAATATTGTGTACCCTTTCTTGTTTCAATACATTTTGTTTAAGTACATTTTGTGTTGTATTATTATTATTTCATGCTTTATTCAAGTTTCAACACTAATTTAATATCTTATGAATGTAGGTTTTCGTTTAAATATAAATTGTGAATGAAGTTATTTCATAGTAAGAGTAATAGCAGTGTTATCCGTTTCCCTATAAGGAAACATCCAACATTCATTGACCATTAGCTAATGCTACTAGAGTTATGCATCTCTTCAAGCCTTGGCCATCAGCTTGGGATCAAAGTGTAGTATCTGCCTTCAGACTGACGAACTATATTTTATCTCTCAATTGTGCTTTTGTCTTCGGATTAAACACATAAAAATCATTGAGGAATTCCTGGTCCCGGAGATTTCAACCGTGTGACAGCACCTCCCCCGTTTCGCCAAAGAGAATGGATCAATAGAATATCGACAACAGCACGATTTTGGTTCTGGGGACTGGGCAATTTGCGGCCTTTAGCTCATGTACGTGCATATGCAATCCAATTTTAATTTGTGCCATATCTCGCTCCCGTGGAGTTGGGAGTAAGTAAATAAAACTTGCAGCATCTGTTCTCTTCATCTCTAATGGTAATTGTAATATTAACCGTTTCCTTATAAGGAAATATTCAACATTCATTGACCGAGCAGCCACTGCTACCTTCAGATCATTCTTTTCTTAAAAAACCAATTTTTCAGGAAAATAAGTTTCGAAAGGACA